ATCGATGACAACTATTGTGCCAACATCGTCGATTACATCGCCGACTAAACCATTTGTTCCTACGGTGGTTTGTAACCAGACAGCGATACCGTTTTGTGCCAGTTACTACACTTCGATGGGCGTCTACTATCCGAACAGTTTTAAAGATATCAGCGCACATGAAGCGATGATCCGCGAAGACTTTTTTCGCGTAAAAATGCTATGAGTGCAGTGCCTGTTCTTTGTCTTACCTCACACTTTCAGGTTTTGGAAAAGTCAGCCTGCCACAGATTCGTTAAGTTGTGGTCATGCTTTTTTCTTCAGCCACCTTGCAATGCAGCAACCAGCAGGCCTTTATCAATGTGCAAGCCGTTCTGCCTCGGTAAGGTTTCAAATGTGTCGCAAAAATGGGTCGGTTAAGCATAAGTAAATTTTTTAGCAGCTTTAAACAGAAAAGTTGAAACAGCGAAATGATCTCAAAACCACAAAGTTTATGGGCGTGCATCGACATCTGAATAAAATAAAATTTATTAAGTCTGAGGTTCGTGCTTTCGTGTCGCATGAACTCAGCTGCACTAAATTTCGTGCGAATTTAAATAATAGCTGGTAATTTTGTGCAACTTTTGAATTGCGAACGGCTGGTGACGTACCTTCCTCAGCAGTTCTCGATATTCTTTGAACCTGTCTTCCGCTTACAGCTCACCTTTACAGCGTGCGCAAACGGCGGAGGGAAGTGCGATATAACAGTAACCAAGTGCTAGAACGCCACTATGGCTGGAATGTTGCTAAATGTGAATTTATGTGATCGATCTGTGACCTCCAGGGCATCCAGAATGTGAACTTCAACTGCGGATAACTTCACAATTGTTCACTCCATCTATTGCAGCATCAGTGGCAAAACACTTTCAATCTGTTCCATAAATTGGAATGCTTTTTCGCTGCAAGTTGGCTTATATGAAACTGGCCAGATAGAATGATTTTGCAAGAATTAAGACATTTAACCATAATGCAGCTTTTCATCACGAATAGAATAAAGTTTCTAGTCACACAGTCATTAATGTTATTTTTGTTTGCTTTATGAAGAAGTGAAGTATACCGTATCAGAGAGTTTCAGAAACTTGCTCTCTCTTTCTAAACGAGTTATCAAAATAATATGTATTTAATAAAAGTGATTAAGCAATGTGAATAAGTGTTTTGAAGTTTCACTAATTTTGTTGATAAAATTTATATTTATAGACGTGCAGAAGGCATGCAGAAGTTTTCTCGAGAATACGGCTTTGGCACTGATAGACCATTGCAGCGATACTAATGCTGACTATGAACCTGGCTGCATTCAAGAATGTTTAGATGACTACTTCTATTGCGCGCAGACGAAAGTGTGTCTTAGGCCAGATCAGCGGTGCAACGGCGTTTTCGAATGTGGCTTGAACGATACAAGTGACGAAAAAGATTGTAGTAAGAATTCGCAGAGTTTATTTAATTAAACTGTTACATCCTGCTCCTACTTCGTAGGCCACTTAGTTGGTTTGTGCTATTTCTCTCATTCTAGGTATGTTAGACAGCTCATGTCAATCTATTACCGTTGCTAAGTATTATGTTTATAAATTAGTAGCATAATATAATGTAATATAAACTTGAAAATTAAACATTGTTCTTATCCGCGGGAAATTTATTCAGTGGTCTTTATGTTTCTTACGGGATTTCTCGCATATACACTTTCTTACAGAAATCACCGACATTTCGAACGATTTTGGCTCGAAAAGTGGTGATATGCGGAGCAATCCCGTAAAAACATGGAACATAGAATAATATAGTGTAATGTTATATAAGTTTAAAACTATAAAACTTTGACGATCAAATTACAGGACGAAGTGGGATCGATGATGCAGTTCAGTGTTATTAGCAATTAGTTTCTCTGATGGTTTCTACATCCCAGTTCGTCAAAAGTAAAATCACAATCTTCTATCCCAACAATCGCTTGGCGAAAGTGATGCACCAGTTTTTCGGCGATCAACTGAAAAGCAAGGAATTCCCGAAATATATTTTTGTGACATTAGACCGCGACTTCATATTCTGGAAATGTACGTAAAATACGTGCACGAACATCAAAGCCCGCAACTCTATCCTACATAGGCTCGTCGGCATGACGGTTAAACAATGGAAACAGCAACTCCAGTTATTGTCTGTTTCGCAGTTGAACACTGTAGACTCGCTTAGCTCCTAGATAATCCACTCAAAGCATCGATGCTCTAATCAAAATCAGCTGAGGAAGTTAACAGCAATGCTACTCTCTTCTGTTTTGTTCTGGCTATCCATCCCTTTTCGCATCTTCTAGGCTGAAGCAACGAAAGTTTTCTACAAGAGTATCTCAAAATACAAGGCAAATTAAACGTCCGAATTTATCACGAACTGCGGCCCTTCCATCGATCAGACTCATATTGCAGGAAGCATTCGAAGTGTAATCCGAGACCTAGTGATTTCATACTCATCGTTAATAAGAAGCAGAGAATTCGATAGTTACCCCAGAAATTCAGATTCACGATTATAACTGAGGACCATTTGACTTCCACTTGCCGTGGAAACGGTTGGCTAATCAGAACTGTCTCAGTACGACGCACGCCAGGCCCGGCCACAAACCGTCCAGTTTGTGGTGCAAAGATATATCTGCATAAGTCTGCAGCTACTTTGATGCAGCAACAGACCATATGGTTAATCAATGCAAAGCACGAAGATTTGGAAAGGATATGACTGCTCCATGCACATTACGTTGGCTCTGCAACATGACTGTCAGATCTGGCCTTAAACATGCAGTTGCTATAGATATATGAGAGACGAAAAATAGTTTTGGCCTGCTGAGATAGATTTCTCACTGCAGTTCCGTGAAGGGCAAGTCCATCTGCGGATTTACTTTTATTTAAATATTTTAGAACGGTATTATCTGACATTATGAATTATAGCGGTATTTGTTTTTCCAACAAAAGTGACACTGAAAGAGGGTTATTGCATGTTTTACATAAAAATAAAAACGATGTTCTTATGATAATGAACGCCCATGTTTTGAGAGATGGAATTACGAAGGTATCCTATAGTGCATACCCTTTATCGGCTTTTCTTATAGATTTATTCGAAATGTGGTTTATTTAGTCCAAACCTATTAACTAACACATGAGTTTGAGCGCGCTGCAGACTTTTGAGTAAAGACTGATCACGTATGTTCGTCATTTCAGAATGTTCGCCCGTCCAGTTCCGCTGCAACAATGGCCTATGCTTGTCCCGTAAGGTTCTATGTGATAATAAAAATGACTGTGGCAGCTGGGAAGACGAGAAAAACTGCAGTAAGTGCACATGCAAAGGCTTGTGTTGTAGATTTGATTTTCAGCATGCAAACCTGACTTCCTTCAGTGTACCGGCACGGGTCAGTGTTACAACCAGTCGAAATGGTGCGATTATCATGCGGACTGTGGAGATTTGTCTGACGAAACAAACTGTAGTAAGCGTTTTTTGATGCTATGTGTGCGACTAATACTAATAGTTTTCTATCAGTAAATGCGACATTGTAGTGTTCTCCCTCTACGTAGAGGTCTAACGAGCCATTTAAAAACTATTCACGGCCCTACTATATTTCAACAGTGGCAGTGCATCTCACGCAAGTTTCTCTGGCAACTGTATTCATGGATTCATGTTTAACCACGAATTTCCTTGATTAAAGAGTTTTTCTCACATACTCTAGTGCATCCAGCGGAGAAATGGGTAAAAAGTCGCTGGCTTACGAATAACATGGAAAGCATAGTTTTCTGATGTGTTCATGTCATAATGGGTGAGACCTGCGGTCAAGCTGTCTGATTGAAGCGCCTCTTATGCCCGCACTTCGCCTTGACCCACCTGATAACTGACTATGCAGTGTAATAATCAGCACAAGATGTAACCGTGAAAAATGCCATAAATGAAATCAATTAGGAGTTTTAAGCGCCGCTATTCGAGTCGATGGTTCAAGTGAAAAGTATTTTTCAGACTTTGTCCAAACTACTGTAACACGACTCTTTTGGGATCAGTTCAGGATAGGGCTTTTATTCAGCATCTTCAAGATTAGCTGCCATATGGGAAGCAAGTATTTTATTCAGCGCAGCTGCACCATACGAAATGTACATCCAAGGCTCGAATTATGCACTGCATGATAGCAACGGTTGGCTAGCCTTTTGAACCCTAGATCGCACGGGTAGAGGACTTATCTGCACGGGTTCGGTACGCTTTCAGGTTTTTTGCCCAAGGTGACAATTGCATTGAAACTCTATGGCTTTCAGACGCATAGCGGCCACTGTTAACGGTTACTATGATCAATAATATTCTGACGTTGATTTGTTGTCAGAGTTCACTACAACTGTTACAGCTCTTCATTTTCATCATCTTTATCCTCCATCGCCGCTCCTCCTTTCGGGTCGCGTAGGCAGACATGTCAGACAGAGCGTCCAACGTTCCTGATCCTGCGCTAAAAGCTGAGCTTCGGCAAAAGGCGAATGGAGTCTGGAAAAGACTCCTTACACATATCTTTATACCAGGATATTCTTCGCCGTTCCCTGAGCCTTCTGCGTTCAGATTTGCAAGGAACAGTTGCTTAGCCTACCTTTCTGGAGGCATTCGCAACACATGCCCAAGCCATCGCAACTGTGACTTCTCAATCCGGAGAAGCAAAGGCTGTATACCAAGGCTCCTCCGGATGTCACTATTCCGGACCATGTCGAGACGCGTAAGGCCAGCGACTCGTCTAAGAA